TTGGTCACGCAGCGTGGCGTACTCCTCTGCATGGACATCAGAGAGATAGCAAATGTGTAATGACTAGTACTCACCCTGCCCAGCAGTGTCGATGACTTCGACGAAGCACATCTTGTTATCCACAATTAACTGCTTCCTATAAGCGTCTTCTATTGTCGGGTCGTAAGTCTGTGAGTAACTATGAGTCAATTGATACGAGGGTGAACAAGAACACATACCTCTGTACCATAATATGGGAGGAAGGGTCGAGGCCATTAGATTGCCGTAGAAGTACATGGTAGTTGGTTGGGCTTACCAACGAAACAATTGAGAGTGAACTAGAGGGGAACATGAGGCGTGGATGGGTAACAATAGTGATGAGGACCGACCTGAACAGCCAAGCAGTTTTACCGACACCACCATCGCCAAGCACAGCAACCCTCCAGCTATCCATAGCTATTAATGATAGATTAGGGATAATATGGAGATGGAAGCAAGCGAAGAAGGAATACCTTGAGTGTGATCAAAGAGATAGAACAGGAGTTCTGTTGCAGAGGTGAATTATAGTTGTCAGAGAGGGTACAGGGGATGTGTACCTTGAGAAGCCGAAAATGGAGTTTGAAGCCGGAGAAAGTGCCAAGTATATAGGGATACCTTAAGAGATGAGGATTGAGAGAAGGAAGAATATTCGGAAGTCGTGCAGATCGTATATGGTCGTAAAGAAAGGCGCGGAAAAGGACTTTGAGACTTAGAGAGAGAAAGGAGTAGGAAGCGGAGAGAAGAGAAACTTGCGTTGATGTACGACTCTTGGCTTGTCCTTCCAAGTACTCCATAAATTTACATCAAAATACTTATCATATAATATAATTTTAAAGTTTATATTATATTTATTTACATCACCGCCTACGGACATCTCCATCCACCCTTACAAAGCAATGTTCTTAAATCGAATGTCCCCTTAAAAGCAGTGTCAAGAGGTATTCGACAATTGCGGTCGACCTAATTAATTGCCGTCAGACAACCATACATGGCCTGGCTTATCGTTCCCGTCCACCATTTAATTAGCCCCTCGACTGACAATTGACAGTAAGTACCTCTTGGAGATGCGCCTCTCGTCCGGCTATCATTTGACCTCCGCATCTCAGCGCTCAGCTCCTCTTATGATTTACCTACGTGTTCTAGCACTGAGCCCCCATCTGGGGCTGTTCCGTAGGGAGATTGAGTTAGGGCCTTGGAGCCACAAAATTCAGGGCCATCTTTGGCCGCGGCCCATCCAAATAATCCAACTTGATCTGCGAGGGTAAGGAACGCCATCAAAGCTGGGCGACCCCTGTAACTTCCCGCGACGATCAACAAACCACAGCGTTGTCTTTCTTTTATTGTCAGGTCGGAAAAAGTGACTTTTAACCGAACTGCCGAACTGCTGCATTTGGAAAATATACGCTCAATAGGCGCTCGTCAAAACTTCGTGTCGCGTGACCAGATCGAAGGGGAGAACCGCGCTCACAGATACAATTCCTGAGCGCTGAAGCTTGAAGTTGAAGTTCTGATGCGGTATATGTATACAGATGACGTTGAGATACTATTGGAACTAATAGTCGTGTGTTCTCGCCTTCAGTACAGTGTTCAGAGGCTGCCACGAGTCAAGGCCAAAGTTGCGGTCGTATTGATTCCGTCCTTCACATGGACTTTACGATACGATTGCGCCACCGCCACCATGGGACATTACGTATCAACATCCTCGACAGAGCACCTGACGAGGTGCATGGAAGCCTCGCCAAAGTACTTGTCTCCCAAGTGTGGTTCAACGAATACACGGTAAAGACGCACTTATCGTCATCGATGACAAAATCCACCCCGTGTTCTTTCTGACGCAGAACCAGGCCGATGAAACTTTCCCATCCGAGTTTCAGCCACGTAACTCAGACGTGATGTTCATGTCGTCACGACACGATGCTCTCGGGTCTAACTTATTCGTGATGACATGCGGCGACGAATTTGTCGCATATGGGGCCCCCGACCAGTTAATTGAATGTGTAAAAACCTTATAAACTTTTCGAACACCCTTCGGCACCTAAAATCAGCTTTTTCTTCCGTAAGAAAGCCTTCATATGGTGATACTCACTTGCTCGGGCCACCTAAAAAGATCGAAGCTCACTAGGTTTCACGGACGTCTGATGAACTCTGACAAAGTGCATCGTGTCAGAGTATTGTCACGGTCATCAGGCTGACTCATCGGCTAATTTACGGAGAGATCATGCCTGGCGTACTGCGGGTGCTCGATCTTATCCGACGGTGTCATCCCCGTCTAGTCATCGTGATTCTCACCAGATGGGAACAATCGCGCTCGAGTTGCACTTCTGACACGTGTATTGCGATAGATGGCGAGCAAGCGAGTCTGATTCTGTCTCATTGCTGATACCACTGGGTGCTGCACATCCGGTAGATAGTTGAGGCATTGCATAGCTCCAGCCTGGGGGCTCTTTCAAGTGGCTTCCTGCAACAGCATCCAACTTGAAGGACTGATAACTGTGATAAAGCCACCGCTTTAAATCGATAATCACGCTGAAACTGCAGCAGCATTTGTCGTCGATCGACATTTCCGACACATCGTAATTCTGCTCAGCTCTGCTCCACCTATGCCGAACTCTTTTCACATCAGGCTAAATATCCTAATTGGAACATCGACGTTGATCCCGGCGGCACGAGGCTGGACTCGGACATGTCAGGACTCAGGAGTGGGCGCTAATCAGCTCCGGGGATCGTGGATTTCACTCGTCTGTCCCCTCACCCCACGAGCTGCCAGTGCCCAGAACTAAGACGTGCCTTAGCCAGCGAGAACAGAGATAAGTGGGAAGTAAGAATAACAATACCAACCAATCTCCTGCCCAATTGGCTCGCCCTCTTCCGAAACTTTCACTGTTGTCGTAAAGTTAAGTTTCAGTTTTTTTGTCGCTGTCTGTATTCAAGGGTGAAAATTATTTTGGGTCGGAAGAAAAGAAGGTAATGATTGGCGCACAAACATATGAATTTTGGTACAACTGAAGAAACGACTACAGGTTGCTTCGGGATCCCTTTTCCGATCACTTCTTTGGAAGGAAGGAATTATGACGACACGCCTTCTGCGCGTGTCCATGGAGTACGCTCTGAATCGAACGCAAGAAACGTAATGGTTGGTCCAGACAGCCCGTTTCCAAATATCTCCAATACCCGTCCAGACGTTCACTGATTAGGGACATTGTGCCTTGTTCGAGCGTCTGGTATATATAGTGTTCTTCGAGCGGCAACTGATTATAGATAATATCTTCTCGAATCTCGACATGATAAGATGTTGTCATACCCTTACCTGCATAAATGAAGAACGTAAGTAAAGGACCAGACTCGGATCCAGCTACAGTATACCGGCGCGCCCATTGATCCCGGCCCACGGTGCGACCCCATCTGATAGGAAGATTGCATAACTGAAAACGTTGAAACAAAGCCACGACCAGACCTTCAGGTGTTCTCCCTTCATTACGTCTACGACGAACGGCGGTCTCGGAACGATTGGCTCACTGGTCAACTCAGTATGAGTCATGTGGATTTCCGATTGCGGAGTACGTACGGTGTCAGAATTGAGTAAGGAGAACCATCAAGTGAACGATCCAGTCGAAAAGTTTGCGAATTCGCCTCCTCTTCGGTAGGGTGTATGAGCGGCGATAGTGTTTCCCTGGAAAGCAAGAACAATAAGTCAGGACGGGATGGGGCGATCATGAAAACCGATACGTTCTTGCCGTGCTGTCTATCAGATTTTGATGGGTGCCAAATATGGTGTTAGCAGTTGTCAGATATGATTGCCAAATGACTTTGTACTCGTGGTTCAGAGGTCGCAGTTGAATTTTCCCAGGTCCCGCAGCACCGCAAGCCGCAGTTCGAACTTTGATCGGGAATGGGTGATGAATATGGGGTCAGCAACGCAAGACGGGGAAATCATTGGTAATTGTGTGCTCGTAGGTCAGAGGTAGAGCATGTCATGGTCAGCTCTCTGCCGATGTCGCTTCGCCAAGCCTATAATATTGCCGACTACTTACCGCAGCTTCCAGAGTAGGTAGTCACTTGGTATATCGTCACCAGACCAAGTGATTGCGCTACAGTGGATTCTGAATCATTCTCGAGTCCCTGTCTGAAAAAAAGGGGAGGGGGTTTATAATATCCGGACTGACTCGGATATCTGATATGATGCAGAAAAGCTCTATTTCCGCACATACGTTGGATTTCGCAGGAGATTCCACGCATCCCTCGGAGTGATACCTGTATCAGTGTTCTTCAGATAATGCGCGATGGTTCTTCCGAGGATTAAGGGTTAGCTCACATGTGATGTATTGCAAGAGGGGAAAGTTGTTCACTGCTATCAAAATAAACTCGCTGAAGCGCTGTGAGCAATTAAGCCAAGCTTGTCAAAAAGTCAACCGTGGTAAAGCAGGTGACAATTATACTTAAGCACTGATCAGGAAGAATATGGATGCCTTCTTGAAAGGTTGCCGTAGTTCGCCCAATGTGACTTGGGAAAGAGGCTCAGTTGAGATACTGTCGCCCCCGAAAGATAAGACAAACGAACAAACTTCCCATTGTGATAAGGTATGCGTAGTTGGAACAGGTGGAAGTATGTGTGGAACGTGGAATGATACGCATAATGTTGAACAGGTGTGGAACATGGAATGGCACGCATCGTGATAAAGGCAAGTTGGGGAAAGGAAATATTGCGTAGAAGGAACCTATTGTATGCTAGTGTGCAGTTCTGCACGCGTGTCGGAATGAGTTATATACCGAGATAAAAAAAACCTCAACTAAAAAGAAGCCACCAATCATACAACATGGTCGGAAAGGGTTTGGAGTAATGCGCCAAATGGTGGTCGATCTATGGCTCTAGGGCACACTCATCAGTCTAGTGCAAGAGTACCGCACGCGTCGCGCAGGCTCAATCCTGCCTGCTCAGTTCTCCCTGGGTCAAGTCAAGTACAAAGACTGTCTTGGAGTTCTTTGGTGGTTCTATGAACTTGACAGGTTTTTTTGAAGAACGCGACGAGGTGTTTTGTGATATTGAAACGAATGGTCGCAAAGGGCGAGAGTGAGGGAATGATGGTCGCATAGGCGACGCTCTCGACGAGCCAGACGGGGCGTTCAGTGACGATGCAGCAAGGGGTGAAGAAACATATGGCATCGGAGATGATGCTCTCAGGACAGGGTGTACCGCAGACATGGTCATTGCAGCTGTGAAAAACGTCAGTTCACAGCTATGTATAGTAGTCAAAGGTTTGAACATACGCATTACGTTGAACAGAGCGGATGAAAATTTGTGAGAACCGTAGGGCAGGCGGTTGAACTTGTACTGGAAGTTGGAAGAGTACTTGAGGGTGAAAGGAGAACCTAGCTGGTGAAAGATTGTGGAGACGTCGCGTCGCGGACGTGGCTGTCGTTTACTGGTATTTATATACTTTGTTGCAATCCTGTGGGGATGGAATGCAGAGAACTCCAACCCATATTATTAGCGACGACATGTTGGGGATTGCCTAAATTTAGATTACCCAATACCGCGTGACAACCCCAAAGTGAGCAACAACTCTCAGATTGTACTATTCATGTTGTTCAGCTGTTGCTTAACCCAAAGTACTTGCAATCATGAATACCGATTTTTCGCAGCATGGTCAGGCGGATCTACCATTGATAGTAAAATTTAGCTGACCATGACCAAAACTTTGGGTCCACTAGCTTGAGACTCCACCAACGGTTATCTACCCCATGTGCACAGGCGGCTTGCACTTAGTACGCCGTCTGCTCAAGTGGCTAACGCTTTAATAAAATAAACTACTCTCTTACTGACATCAATCTCCCCACAGTGATAAGAGACTAGCTCAAACCGGTAGTCATGACCAACTTGCGGCTGGTCGTACTCCCAGCATGATCTAGCATACGAGGCGTCTCGATGGCGTGCCTCCAACTCAGCCATTACGCACCTGTACTGAGGGTTTTCACTTCCGTCATCCGCGTGAAATCGCTCCAGAGGCTTCCACGGCTTCGCGTATTCACCAAGCTACGTACGTACGAACCCTAAGGCCTACACCCTTACCCTATAATTGGTGGCACAAGCTGGCTGTGAGGCCACAGTCGGACAACAGACGCGCTTTTGACCTGCCACTTGTCCAAACACTTGCCACCCAGTTCCCGTGTGACCGCAGTGTACTAACTCCATGATTGTTTCATGGAACCGCATTTACAAAGCACTGGGGAATGTTTCATACTTAGAACAGAATAGTACAAGTTCTTCCGATCACTGCATCCTTCGTGGAAACATATTAGCATGCCCGAGGTCGGCCTGGTACAACGCCGCTGGTACTAGAGCGCGGTTTGATTTGAGGCACATAAAGAACGGCTCTACTAGTTCTATCACTGCCTGTCAGAATAACGATCTATGCATTGATATTAGGGTGAGATATAATTTGGAACATTTCCATACACGACTCTTGATAACGAGTAATACGGAATTGAAATGTGTGTTGAGAATAGGATATGCCATGCTTCTAAATAAGCACATTGAAAAAAATGATTAAGGAGGAGACTAAATGAGGATGCAATGAGATAGTAAGTACACAATAAGTTTCGAGGGAGGGAGACAGAAGGGCACGGAATACATTTCTTGGATTCGTGTGACTGCGGAGATCATAAAGAGGATCATAGTGGCACGATGCAAGATGGCGCGATAGGAGGCACACAATGCGTGAGCTGCGTGGTTCGTGCCTCGTGCAGAAGAAGATTCGAACGGCGATGGCTGAGGCAGGATGATGACTGATGGTGGAATGCCTCCGCCAACCCTTCTGCATCTGCCATCTGCATCTGCTCTACGTATATAACGATTTAAGCAACAAATTGACAGTCCTGGATGAGTTTCGAAGACGGAAATGATGTTACAGTGGTGGTGCTAGGACGATCAACGAGTGGTCGACAAATATGATGTGCCGTTGGGTCCTTGTAATCGTGCGTCGTGTTGTTGGAGTTGTGTGGTAGCCAGGTAGATGGAAGACCGAGGCACTTCAGGCTACTGGACATCGACGAGAAGATTTCGCTCAAGTATATATTTGCCCTCCTTGTATTGCTGCGATTGTTCGTATGCACGATCCTTGAACGAGAAAAGAAAGATATGAGGTGGACTATGCAATGAAATGTCTAGATGTCACGACGTACATATTTCCAGCCGAGGACGGTGGCACATTTGACGCAATAAATATCCCGAACAGTATGGTTGCCTGTGGTCATTTGGCGGTCATTTGGTTCGCCTTCTATGACATTAACACTGGAATCGGGACGGTGAGATGAGCGTCGATGTTAGTACGAACTCAGAGCTCACACTCCATCGAAGAGATATGCGCGGCCATGTTGGCCGTTGAAAGCCTGACAAAGCCCGCATCAACACGCTAGACCTGGAGACGAAGGATGAGAGTGGTGACGCACTCGTGAAATCATAGAGTGGATTGTTGCAAGATGGGTCTTGCACTTGGAGCAGCCATAGATGCGCTCGCCAGCCAGATAACGACGGTACTTCATCCCCATTTCGCCTGGTGTTCTAGCTTAGGAGCGAAAGAGCGATTATTAACTTGAATGAAACTGGAGGCGAAGATCGCTTGAATAGCGGAAACTTATAGGAAACACTATCCTTTATACTAGGGACGTGTGAATGTAAGTAACAAGAAAGAGCAGGAAAGAGTCGGAAGTGGTGAGTTGACATAGACCTATAGTACGTCCCCGTCACACACCTAATTAAGCTGAATCTTAGCTGATACGTTTCCCACCTTGCTCCGGCCCCTTCAAGTTGGATACTAACCGATCTAGTTGACCTTTTCCATTTTTCTCTTCGCGGCTCAGCTTGCAGCCTGTTCGCATGCAACAACGGCCTATGACAACTAGGCCAAGGCTCTGCCAAGGCCTTACAGATCATCGATCAGATGTGATACCGGGATCTATTCAAACCACTTGGAGACTGGAGCGGTGCACGGCCGTTATCGATTGATTATGACTCGTGGAGACACTGTAGGTCTCTATCTACGCATTAACGCCAAGTTCATTATGTCTTGGTATAGCACAATATTTAGCTCGGGCTACCATCGGGCATCCTACGCAGCTTGTAACGTGGCACGAGCAGCTACGGTCTTGTCCCCATGATCCTCAATGTCGCGAGGAGTCGCTGAGGATTATTATTGGCTTGAATTGCCTGTGCGATCTGTAGCAGAATTATCTCCATCTGCGATCTACATGATGTTATCCTGTGGCAAATAGAACTTTCTTGAAGAGCTTTTCCAATTCGGATAATAATATAGTCTGCCTAGATCTAAGTCAGTGCAGTATGTAACTCATGTGCATGAGCGCTTCTCCTTGGAACAGGGTGGCAGGTGTCTCGGCGTACGGAGTGGCGGATGTCCTTTTTTGGCATCATGAGTATTTGAAGTGTTTTGACTCGGACCTCCTAGTGTTTACTAGTTTTGTGGAGGACCTGTAAAGTATTGTAACGAAATGGCACAGGGTATGGTCTTGTAATTAAATAATGCTCATTACTCACACCCAAACTATCACAGAAAAACCGGACTCAGTGGTGCGTTTGTTGTCGTGTGCTCTTCACCGAATCCGCACAACGCCTCCCCGAGTAATCGCTTCGCCAGCAACTCGTGAGTCGTACGATCTTTCTCTTGGAATTCTGTATTCTGTATCTTCTGACCTGTCACGAATTTGTATCCCACAGAGCCTCGTCGGGCCGCTGTTGCTATCATTATCCGTGTCGTACCTCCCCCCAACACTATACCGGTGGCGGCTGACACTCCTCTACCCACTTTAAATCAATTCTTCGAGTTAGATTGGGTCAAGGACCCTCTCGCGTGCCCAGAATTTCTTCTTTTGAGACGCGATGGTGCGGGTCCCTCTGATGCAGTTCCAGGGCGTGCATCTGCATTCCAGAACTTCACTGGCGATGGGACTTGGAAAAGCAGCGGCAAGGCTGGAGCTCACGTTGCTTTTCCCGGCGGACGTACTGAAGAAGGAGATGAAGGAGGTCTCTATACAGGTATATGCGTTTCATCTACTTTCTTGACTTTATCTCACTCCTGACCTCATGGTAGCCATGCGTCAAACATGGGAGGAGATTGGCTTGGACCTTGCAGAGCGTGACTTTCTTTGTATAGGTCAACTCGATGACAGAGAGATCACTACATCGTTGGGGAAGCGACTCCTCATGATTCTGTCTCCTTTCGTCTTCCTGCAGCTCACTCCAAATCCTCTCCCCACCGACCCAACGGACGGGACCACCATCCACTGGGTGCCGCTTGCGACTCTTGCTAGTGCAGTTTTACCAGGACATATAGGTGACAAGATGAACGCAAAGAGCAGATGGTCCAGCGTGACTGTGGATGCTGCGTCCAGGCTGACGCCTCGACGCGCTGCTATCTTGAAAATATTAGTCAGAGTTCTCATAGGCAGCATGCAGTTCCCTGCCATATTACTCGATCTTCCGGAGTCCGACGCGATATCAGGCTCATCCACAGGTAGCCCTGCAGCACTCCAAAATAGCAGATCGTATCCCCCACTGACGCAGGACAAGCTCGAAAAAGGATTTACAGCTACGAAGCCACTTTCTGGGAAGAACCGAAATAAGTCACGGCACCAACTCAAGTTGTGGGGTCTTTCCCTTGGCATGACGCTCGACTTGATGGCGACTATGATACCACCCACTTCGCTTCCCTCTCCTGCCGGTCTCAATAAACAGCCCACATCTCAAGATCTGCACAAAGTTGCCTTGCCTAGTCTGCACCTCCCTTTCCACCCTGTAGGGGGTGAAGGAATGCGCATTGATGCTGTTGCACCCAGCCTAGCAAGTGTTTTCCCTCGTTTCTCTTATCCGGATGTCAACTTCTGGATTTGGTATGTCTACTTTTAATATTGGTCATGGGCAACCAAGTGATATTCCTTCAGGGTCTTTGGAAAGCGTTATCGCGAAGTTGTACGTGGGTGGGAAGCCAGTGTACGCGATGGAGGCTCCAATGTCCGACGGTACTTGGCGTTTCCATTGGAATCTGGTATATTTTAATTTTAATGAAACAATTTTCAGGGTGAACTGGTCGGGCACGGCACTGAATACATTCTACGCTGCGGTTCGCAAGGCTTTGCTCGTAGTCTTGCTTCTTCGTGCAGTTGGTGTACTCGTTGGTCTTGTGTTCGCTGGATGGTGGGTGTTTGCGTGAAGAGCTTCCCCTGCGTGGTGACTTCTGGACCCTTACTATCGTGGATTTGGGATCTTCATTGAATACTATTCTTTTCATTACGATACCTCACTAATGCGATCCCGGACCGGCATCTCACTCGTGGACTTTTTCGTTTCTACAACTTTTTCGGATCTCAACAATCGTGAGACACTCTGCAAAATTAACTTTTCTTCATCTCTCCTGTTCATTATTCCTGATGTTACAGTCGTGCAATCTAGTGATGTACAACTTCTCTCTTTCCTTCACAGTAGTTTCGTTCCCTAGTCAACTATTAGCCCAAAGGCAATCCGCACACCTCGCAATCTGTCTCTCCCTCGGGGTTCTCAAATGTGCAATGTGGACAAATCTTGACACCCGAACCTACTCCACTAAAACCTTCCCTCCGGGTAGCTTCTTCGGCAGCGATTTGATCGAACACATCTTGAGGAATGTCTTCGTCGATATGTGACGATGACGGACCAGGTGCAGGTGTAGATGGCAATGATGCTGGTACAATATGCACATGAGAAACGGCATCCAGTGATAGACAACCACACTTACGAGCACTCTCCCGCGTGAATGTCATCAGTGTCTGCCAGCTTTCGGTCTTGAAAAGTGCATTCAGTACCGAAGGATCCCCCAACAATGATGGTGAAGTCACTGTGCTGACGAGAACTTTCATGTCGACCTTCAAGGTGTCAGGAAATTGTTTTTTGGACTAACACGGTTCATGCCATACCTTCGATACAAGTTGCGTGGTCTCGAGGAATGCAAGTAAATGCCAATCGCTGAGCCATTTGGCGAGCTCCAGACGTTTAGACGCATCGCTCGTTGATGTAGTGGGACTATCTGACAACTGAGGGGCGCCAAGTCTGGCCAAGGTCTTGAGAACATTTTCTATGCGTTGGTCTTCAAGTCCTGGGCGGTTCTCGATAGCAAACTGGTTCGAGCGGAACAGCGGTGATGGATTCTGGGGGAAACCATGCGTGACCTGTATGAAGTGAAGCATGCTCAGTTATATAAATACCTCATCCATTTACTGAGCCTCACGTTAACGAGCAGGTATTCGACCGGGAAGCAGGGTTTGGCAGTCTTCTTGACTTCGAGGTTGTATTCATTCTTATACCTGAAAAATACGTCGGGCACGTAACGTGCCGCATCCTGACTGCGGTCTTCCTCTTTGATGCGGACAATTCCAGGTTCCACGCTAGCTTCGATCATATCGGCGTCTACCATTGCACACGCTTGCTCGGAGACTTGATATGCGGATATGTCCACTTTTCCATCCTCCGTGGCAGTAAGAATAGCGGTAACCATCCGTGATCCGAATGCTCCACTAGAACATGAGCGCGAAGGAGTAGGGTTGGACTTCTGTATAGTGGCAGCAAAGATGGCCTCTAGGGAGGACACAAAGAAGGAATGAGGGTGGCGTTTATATATGCTTTTAGTCCTATCTTCTGGATCTGGATCCAAGTCCGTGAAAATGTAGCCGACGATGGTTAGTGGAGCTGAAGACATTTTGGCTAACTCTCGAATGCGAGGCTCATCCTCCCATGGAATACCAAGAGTCAATCCGTCGAGTTCACCTTCTTGAGGCGGCTCATATAGAGCTTCAACTACAGCTTTGATGCCCATGGGCGCCTTTTCATACGGCTCGTAGCGTCCAATAAGCCAGCCAAACCTTTGCAACCCTGTAGATCTCCATGCTTTGAGAAAACGTTCTATAATATCCGGTGAAGCGATCTCCAGGTGATCGACCATACGGAAAGGCTGAGACTGGAGCGTGATTGCAGAAGGTTGACACCCCGTACATATTCCGGCTGGCCAAGGCGGGTGCCCGCCACTGGGGCAAGGATTTTTAACCTTGTACGATAATGGAGATAGGGGAGGAATAGCAGTGGCGGCAGCAGATGATGTCTTTGGCGATATCTTGTGAAGATATGCGTGATACGACAGGTGCTTTATGCTATGTTCAGCCTGATACGCAGCATCGTATGGCTCAAGTGGCATGCAATAGTCACACATCCCGTTGGCGCCATGTTTGCAGAAACGCGCGTCACGATCTCGTGGAATTTTTCCGTTTTTCGAGCGCCAATATATGTCGACCACGTCTTCTTGTACAGTTTCCCATAGATTTGACTGCACTCGCGTTGAGCTTGGCGCATCGATGGACATTAGTGTTGCGGGAGCTTGTGAGACTTTGGTAGCATATCCCACAAATATCATATCCCCATGCCTGTCCTGTTTAATTCCACAAGATACATAAAATACAAGCGTTTACTCACTTCAGCCCAAGGGTTTGCAGATTTCGCCCTTTCAGAGTGGACACTAGGGTTTCATTGCCTCTGGGTTGGTCCGAGACCGTAAGAGACACAGGATCGGCATCCACCGTCGTCTCTAAGATCTGAAATTCGAAGGTGTAAGATGTGTAAGCTCAAGAGCGGTTGATATCGCTGACCTTGTTCACAAGCACTGAAATATCTGCGGTTGAGGGAAGTTCGAACCGGAAATTTCCATCTTTCGACCTGACTCGCAACAACTACACGGTAGTGAGATCCTGCGGTATATGGAGAGCTTAATACCGACCATGTTACTTCCCTAATTCAAGTGAGGTAGGATGTCTTGTAGGAGGAACGCGTAATGCAGTACAGCACTTGAACATCTTCAAGATCCAAATATCCATCGCTGACTAAGCTCTACGTAGGTCTTTCCTCAGCACCTTGAAGAACTGATGCACTTCACCTTAAGCTTGGCTGGAGTGCAGCTGTGGGGCCAACATAGTACTGATCAAGGTCAGATTTTTCTCGTTGGTAGACTGGTATCAGTCTCATCCAGCGATGAGCGCTAGCGCTAAGCAGACTTCCCTTCCTTACGTAATAATACCACTCGGTTGACTTCTCCTAAGGAGTGTCGCAATAATGAGAAGGGATTGCGACTCGCTTCGTGGTAGATTTGGGTCTGGAAACAATGGGTACTTATGATTCAGGCGACCTTTCTTCTCATCATGCCACATTCTCAGGACAGTTCTATCACCTACGAACAACTTGATTCACTCAGATTCGAATCCATACAAGCAGAGCTGGCCAATTGGGAAAACATCGTGTTTCAAGGTGACATGGATGACTCGCGTAAACAGAGGGAAGCATCTTCCAACAGTGGCGATCATACATCAAATCCAGTCAACAATTCCGCCGACAATACAGGGGTACTTGACAAGATTTACTAACCGAATCAGACTCCTGACAGTTTTTAAAGACAGGACAACACTTTCGCGGTGCTGTACCGCCTCATGTTCCTCCTGAGGCATACAACTACCTTATACATGCATTACTTTCAATGCAAGGAGCTGTACCACCCCCACCACAAACAGCACATAACCAATCGTTACCATACCCTCAAGGACAATTCCCGGCAGGTCCTTCTACATCCTCAAATTTTTCCGATGTGCCATACCAAGCCATGCACCACAATCTACCCCTTGCGATGTCGTCTACAGGATCTCTTTCACACTTTCCCCCCACTATGATGACCCCACATTCAGGTTTCCACAGTACAATTAATGAGACTCCAGCGATTGCATCATCGGCTTCTCCAGATGCAAGTGATAATGCAGACGAAGCTTCTGCCATTGCTGAAGATAAGCGCAGACGAAATACTTCAGCTTCAGGTTCGTGGTTATCTCGAACTACAGACACGTGAGTCTGAATACGGATCTTCCATTAGCCAGATTTCGGATCAAAAAGAAGCAGAAGACGCTCAACCTTGAGCGAAGTGTTACCGACCTGACCGGCAGGACGGAGGAGTTGGAGCGAGAGGCATCGGAGCTGCGACGAGAGAATAGCTGGTTGAAGGAAATTGTGCTATTAAAAAGCAGAAGGAGGGGCGCTTCTGGTGGCTCACAATCCAGGAATTCACAACAAGCCAGTACTTCGTCCGCACAGGGCGGCGGTCATGACGGTGATCCTAGCAGCGACGAGGAAGAAGGTCACGAGACACGCGAAGGGAAATAAAACAACGCGTGGTGGAGGTTGAGCCGTTTACGCTATGTCATGTATGTGTGAGAGACTTATATTCAAGATCATAGATGTCATGGAGATGCTTTTTTTCTGGGTGTGTTTGGCAGCCCCATCTCTGATAAGTTCAGCGCAGCAGCCAGAACTTTGTAGCAACCAGGACTTTGTAGCCGCACGTTCGCACATTTGTATGTACCTTGTAATGCCAAGATCTTAACTACAGTTAAACCTAATATGGCTGAAACGTTCCTTTTTGTTCGTTCATATCGGTAAATGCGTACCTGCTAGCGTTTCGACGGGAAATGCACAATTTTCACTTAACATTACAACAACAACACATATTCGTATCGGGTCTACTTTAGGGTGTACCTTAGGTCTCTTTGAGTCCAACGAGAATTTTTTAATTTTGTTGCGACCTTGTTGCAGCGGCTGCAGCGGAGGTTCGTCGAAAATAGAAATGCACAAGTTCGTCACGCTATGTCACGCGCGGCACCTACAATAATATCTAAAGTCCGACAGGACTCAAACAAGTCTAATTGGTCGATACAGCGAATGAGTTTCACATCGCCGTGGACAATTCCGAATTTGCCTAATGCAACGAAGCGGAGACTCAACCAAGCCAAGCCGACAGTGTGATTTCCTGGTTTAGTTTGACTGTCACGCAACTCATGTAGCACGCTGTAGCCTGTGGTGCTGTTCATAAATACCTGGAGTAGATTCAGAATGATGTATTTTACATATGCTGAAGTTCCTATGATGATAGAATCAATGGGATCTGGGTGGATCTTGATTTTAGTGTCCAAAAATCACACATTTTGGGTACACTTGCATAATGTTTCATCTCGGAAAGGTTCCACGGCGTCGATTTTAAATTTTTGATTTGGTGGGCTTATTAGAAATATGCTGATGATTTTTCTCCAGCTGTCCCAAATGAAATTATGTAGAGTTGTAAGCTCTGAAGTGCGTTGTGCATTGCCCATTGATTAATATTGTGCATTATGGATCAGGTCATAGTATTGGTCAAGTATCCTAATGTGTAATACCTGCTAACGTTCTCACGCATGTCTTTTGGACGCCCACCATCAATTAACGTCGGATTCAAGACTTCCCCTCCAGATCGCGGTTCTTTTCCTCTGGACCATGATGGTCTGGCTCGCTGTCTTCATCATGACATGACTAACTGATTATAATATGCAGGCGAGTGCAAGGAACAGATGATGCAATACATGGCTTGCTTGCGCAAGAATTCCAGTGAATCCACCCCATGCAGAGTAATGAGCAAACAATACCTTGATTGTCGAATGACCAAGTATGCCAACGTCTGTTTTTGTGCTCTCAATAGCTCACATTTGTTGCAGAGGACTGATGGAGCGCGATGAATGGAGGAATCTTGGACTAGTCAACCTTGAGGGAGATTCCGCCGAACCAACGCGCACTTCATCCTGAATGTATCTACAGTGTACACCTGCCTCACGAGTCACAAAACGAAATCCATGGAACATCGCAGATCTGACGAACATCTGGCTGAGGCGTGAGTTGCAACGAGTTGCAGTAATGCATGGTATGACAGCAAGGTCCATGTCATATCTACGGAGCAGTGGACATGGGGAACGGGAAGGGGTGGCGGATCCTAGGTTCTTTTTCATGGCATTAGCGAAACTGGCATGATCATTGATCAATAATCGATAATCTCCGGCAGAGCTTGTCGCAGAGGGACGCTCAATAGCACCCGACTATAGTCTATAGACCCGGTTACCCGCCGGCTTGTCATGTATTTTGGTTTGTTTACACCCCATACACATTGGATAGTACTACCGGGGGGTCTAAGCATAACCAAGCCGTTCCAGGTCTGAGTATCCCTGGACCCTATCAAATGTTAGCGCACGATCTTTATCTCCTGACCGTGGACTCTGGAGCGTTCGATGTATGAAACTAGCTTTTTCTATTGTCGTGACCCACTACGGCATGAAGCTACTTATATCGTATTGGCTGTTCATCACGCACGTTCCTCTTACCAACTAGTTCACCACCGGAACAATACTTTGATACCGCAGTCTACTTGCATTCAATGGGCCGACGCACGTTACTGTGAGTCGCGGAATGGCGCGTGCTACTCTAGTAACGAAACTGCAAAAGCAGCAGTGAATGATAGCCGGCAGGCCAGTGCCTTGCCTTGCCAGGAAGTGAACGTTGCAGCTGGCAGTGCCACCTGTTCAAATCGCTGGCAGCTGGAAAACATCGGGATCTTTTACTTGAACGTTCGTCTCGACACTGGTCGTTTTGAACGCCTATCGATAACCGGTGTTTTGCCGAATGCCGTGGTGGGCAATTCGAGAGAAAGGAGAGATCTTATATGAATCATGGACTGGCTGAGGTGGAAAAACAGATCCATCTCCCTTCATCATGTGCATTATACTTGTCTATGCCCTCGTATTCACAGAGATTTCTCTGGTTTACGCATCACCATCGCAGGGTCCATTTCGAACTGTGTCTAACAATCATCAGTTCTACGATATCCAGGTGCGTCAGACTAGTGCACTCAAGGTCATGGCTTGTACAAACCGTAATACAGGCTCATCGCGGAGGAAGAGGAAATGTTGTCGAGAGCACTCTACCGAGCTTTGCATGGTATAGTGGACGAGGTCAATGTTTGATTCACCTCAAGCGAACTCCCGTCACAGGGGCCTCATCGACGGCGCCACCACACTCGAACTAGACAATGGCATCACTCAGGCAAGCTCTCACTTCTCAGAGTCACGCATCCTTCTGAAGGGGCTTACAGGATGGTGAAGTCGTTGTATGGCATGACGAGAATATATTACCAGAAAAATGCTTTGACACTGCACCGGTGGTGAGCAGTGTTGTAGAATCAACTGTGATGGTTAACCGACCCGCACAGGTCCCAGATGATCCCGCATATCCTTATGTCGGAAAGTTCATATCAAATCTGACGTTGGCTCAGATAAAGACCCTCGATTGTGGATCAAAGCGTCAAACGAATTATCGTATATACTCCCTTTTTAACTGTAGCCATTGTCGTAAACATTTTACACAGCTCAACAGCTTGCATATCCTGGAGCACGGATACCCACATTACGGGAAGTTTTCGACTTCGTGTCATGCGCAGATCTGTCCCACCAGATCCTTTGGAACATCGAGTCAAAAATTAACGCTCGATACACAAATCAGACTGCCGGCGTGGATGATTTTGTCCAGAAGCAACATGAGATATTTATATCTAGCCCATACTACCAATCTATCACGGTGAGTATGGCTCTGTTACTACTGCCCCAAACTCTAATTGCCTTGCCAGTATCAAAGTTTTGACTGGCGAACTCTGGTATCCATGAAGGTTTGTGTCTCATGTTCGTCCACTTTGCTTTTTTGATCATCAGCTAAAGACATTGGATGATAAACTTATAACTTCTGCTCTTATCGATGAGTGAGTGAATTTCGAGCCAATACATTGCACGCCAACTGTCACCATTCAGGGACACTGCTTTTACGCCGCGTGGCTCAACTTCCCCGTGGCTGGCCGGCCTACGCCTTGAATCATTTCCCGGACCATCACTGTCCGAGCAGATAGCACAAGCCGCCCATGCTATACAAGCGGATATTTTATCTCCTACTGGAACATTCCTCATTCCCTCTTCATCCCATGAGGGATTCTCTCACTTCACAACTCCTGAAATGATTAGCGAAGCTCACAGGTTCGGCATGAAAGTTGTACCCTGGACTGTGAGCACTTCTCATTTCTTCACAATAAACGATATTCACAAATCACCCATTGCAGGTGAATGGCTTAGACCGTGCCGAAGAGCTCTTCAAGGATGGTGCAGATGGAATTATTACGGATTGTAAGTTTCAAGTCACAACAATTATTGTTGATTGCTCATGGAATGCATATCAGACCCAAATGTTGTTAGGCGGTGGGCCAAACAACAAGGACTTCGGGTGGCGCCTAAATATCCCAGACAACGTGTCTTCTCCTGCTTATACCAGCACATGCGTTAGTGTTCTTGATGCGATGCACTGAAGGATATATTTTCCCCATTCGTGTAAGATAGCGATATCACATTCTCAGTATATGATTACCAGGCAGCTTAGATTTCATCAGCCACAAACTGAAAAACCATACAAATCAGGACATCACTACCATGTAAATAAGACACGTACCATCTACGTTCTATTACACTCGAGACTTGACACGAATACATCAAGAAACATGGAACTTCTGTTGGCCTATTGAGGGCTATTGCCCTACGTGCAGCATGCCGCCACACCGAGAACGTAAGTACATATGCCCACATTCGGTCGGCAAGTTGTCTACCACGACTAAGTATAAATAGTATGGTAACTACAACTTATGTATTCGAAAGACTTATCTCAAATGCCACGATGAGAAAATGCTGCGTCAAAACTTGAATGGGGTAAGTTGCTGATCATCATCATCAGTATATGTATCGTTAGTGCAAGGTCATTGACGATCTATGCCACAGCAGCCCTACCCTGATCTTACTTGAATGCAAATACTGTAGTACTCGAGAATTGCCCAAGGCGTACGAGGTCAATCGAAGGTGATATCGTAATGTTTGGGCCGAACGGGATGCATATTCTTCAAGGACTTGGATTGGAGGAAGACCTCATCACCGGCCCAATGGCGGCCATAATTCATGCTTGCAGATATATATGTCGTCTAGTGGCCTCTCAGCTAGATCTTGTAGAGCGTCATGGTTTTGCTTCCACATTGATCATGTGATGGGACAATGATATCAGGAAGTATTGCTGGGCATCATGAAGAAGGTTGATCATCGTGTGGAGCACCAAGGTCGATACTTGAGAACGCAGACTACCCTCTGAAAGAATTATCGTTCGCTGGCGTGAAGGGAGCAAACTTGAAGAAAGCAAACACTGCTAGTAGTATATGGAAAACTGTCAGGCCGAAGTGAGCGAGACTTTGTTTGTGAAGGATGTATGCCAGCTTGAATCGACCTGCGACCTAGCTCAGGCATGGCGGTTTGGTGAGAGAGTTTGCTGACGCACCTGTTTGGCCAGTCTACGAAGTTGAGAACCTACAGCACTGTTGGAATGCGTCTATCGTATTAGTGGGTGCAGCTCATGGTATTCGCCTCATTCCTGATATCTATCTTTCATTTGGGCAGGCTGCCACTTGCTAAGGATGCTACCATACTTAGGTTAAGGAGCATCTCTACTTACTAATAAAGGACCTTGAAGACGCGAATACTGGCATATCGGCTCCGGCAACATTGACAGTCAACTTTATTTCGGATCTGAAGGCTGTATTGAGTGTACTCACGCAATTCTAAAGGGTTCGGCAGCGTCAAGTTGAATAGATCGTTGCTGAGGCCAACCAATATGGAAACAAGAAACGGGAAACAAAGTGCTTTCGGGATCATTACGAGGATAGTAATGAGAATCGCGCTCTACTTCATGAGGGACAGCTCTGTGGATGGATGGATGGATGGATGGATGGATGGATGGATGGACGGACGGACGGCTTGGGTATAAGTGCCTGGAAACAAAGACCAGACCGACCAAAATACACGAAATCAGCCAATCCAGCTAATGCATCTCGTGTTCCTATGGGCATTGGGATGTCTGTTTTCAGGTCCTGGAGGTGGCTCAGATACCTCCGCCTGTCAAAGATCGAACTCGTTCAAGATGATTTGGCCGGGTTGAAGGCCTTCTCCAAGTCGATCCAATAAATCTCAACGCCTCGAGGGTGTCGCCGGAGATAGGTGGCCTTCTTCCATTCGGTCGTGTTATTATGTCACGATGTATGTAGTCATTACAACATGCTTGGTCGCACCAACCAAGTTGAAGCAGACGAGGAAGCATAAAACTTGTTATACTCGTTTGTCTGTGACTAAGATGTCACGGTGCTCGAACTTCCAATCATCCATGGTTGTGGTATTGCAACCTGATCGTTCACATCTATCTTCCACTGCCACGTCCTGTTCGAATGCCTCGAGGGTTTGCAGTTATACCCAGCTATTTGATGCTTATGCGAAAGCTTTGAGTACTGTTAGTGACTGAGTGTATCACGTGGTAACAGACGAACTTGAAGGCTTCCAAAAACCAAACTGTTACTCGGCACTCGTGTGCCCATGTTGAATGACTCAAAGCTTCTCTTACCACAGAAGTACAGCAGCAGGTCTGTAGATTTCCACTTGCTCATCTTTATCTTAGGTTGACGGTCTCCAGCCGCTGAATTCGTTCGCTGGAGATGAGCCACCCACCGATAGGCCATGGACGATAGCCACTCGAACTATGGAAACCCAGCTGTAGAATCAGGCAAAGAACTACCCAGAGGATCATCCTGAGCTGGACCACCTCTTAGAGAGGTGGGATGAGCATCCATCTAATCTTGATGCCCCTGCAGATCCAAGCGTATCCAATACTGATTCTGATGAAGAAATCTTTGAACGACTTGGCCGGCTCAATATCAAGGATCTTGAGCACTCAAGTAACGAGGAACTTCACGTCCTGAGTGGATGATGGTGATGCAAACGGACAACCTGATAATGCCCTTTTGTTTCTCAAGGTGTTGATTTCAATCTTGCCCTTGGTTCATGAAGGCCATCAGCCACTTGACCAGTGGCTACGGAGCGCTCGAGCACTCTTCAGCAACCATAGTAACAGTGAAAGGTTGCTTGCTCATCGTATTGTGATAATAATATAATTGTTCAGGAAATCACAATCGCGCTTTATCGAATCTAGTGGACGCGCCTGCTCACAAAGCGGTTCATCATTCAGCCACAGTCCACAAGTCCACATCATCTAGACATAAACTCGCTGCTTAATATGACATCTCCCATCAACTCATCTTCATTCACAACACGATGTTTTTCACTACACCTGTCTCTACGAGTCCCTACCCTCTCAACTGCCATCTCTGCTACCGCCCCACAGTCTCATTCGCTGTTAGTACTCGTGCTGCCCAGTATCTTGGGGAGCAACGTGAGCGTGCATGGGCTTTGCGGTACCAGCAGGAGCTTGTGAACCAGCCTACCCTAATTGCTCTTCTTGCTCAAGAATACGATGAATTTCCCGACCAGCAGCGCATGATGGACATCTTATGTGCCTGTACGCCACAGGATGAGGATCAAATCGGTGGTACCATGGCCCGCCAGCACGCTGAGATGCGCAGGATGCGAGAGTTGCAGCATTTTGCTGCTTTGCAGGCCCACATCGAGGAGGAACAAGGTTTTGCCCGTCACCGTGCAAATGCTGAGAAATTCCTCGCAGAAGCTGAAGCCTCCCTCAGTGAATTTCTACCTCCGGATCGGGAACCATACCTCAATATCTTTCAGCCTTTCGACCTGCCTGATGTTTCTGTATGTTCTCACGTGTCCAGTGGCTCTGTTTCATGTGACTTACCATGATCACTCAGGTCCGCACTTCCACCTCCAAGGTCATCGTAAAGGATGAGCCTTTGCCTAAGGACGTGATTGAGGGCTGTGCTATGACAGAAAACTGTGTTGTAGCAGAGTACCGGTTTGAAGAACGCGATACGCTCCAGTCGGTCTTTGACCGTCTCTCTGCAGGCACTTCGACCGAAGTTCCTATTGAACGCGTTCCTGTACCATCCACTGCCGCGGAGACTTCTAGTTCCATGTAGGTCAACGTCAACGAAGAGGGATAAGGAAAAGCCGAGGAGATCTCTGGATTTGACGCCGAAGACCCTGTGACTGTTGAGCAACCCGTTCGCCCGATGCATATTGACCTCTCGGAGGATATGAGCAACGTGGATGTGAGTGCATTCTTCCTCTGTTGAGAGCTGTGAGAGTGGGGGATGGTTTCGATGCTTGATTATTTAGTTTAAATATCACTTACGTTCTACATATACTTGGTTCATATCCGTTCATATTTACTTGATTACGGTACTGCAGTATGTAAAAGGAGTACTAACAAACTCAAATGCATATATCTCGTACATTATTGTTGCATGATGGACAACGCGGTGCATCGATGATATCGATCACTCCGTGAGGACAATGGACATGTGATCAGCCCAAACCTTGTCCAATACAGAGCTCACTTGAAGTCTTACATATAATCACATTCCTCATGCAATGTCCCTGATGCTATGACGTTGACTCGACCACACAAAATTATTCATGACATGAAATAAATGAGCGTTCAGTATCTACACCATGTAAGTGCCTAAGCACAAATGACCCTGAATAACCACTGGCTTGGTGGCACTTGCGTCATGCTATTGTTGATTGCATGGATCACGTCGGGCCATGTGCTTGCTTGGACCAGCCTGAGTCAACAGTTAACCCCTCTTCATCGGATCTGAAGGATGTACTCACGCGATCCAAAAGGATCAGGAGCCTTGAGTTGACAATATTGTTGCTGAGGCTACGTGAGGCGGCAGAGATTGGAAATAAATGCTTTCGAGATGCTCATGAAAACATGGTTGAGTCCAACTTTATGAAGAACTGGGTTGATGCCTGGAATTGAGGACTGGGTCAACATGGGCGAAAGTAGTCCCATGTTGTATTCATCCTATACACATGGGCTTCAGTAGGGTGTCCGTCCATGTGTATCGTTGCCATTTATTTCTAGATCCTACCGCTTGTGTTCTCCCAACGCCTCAAGGCTCTCGGAAAAATTCGGTGGCCTTTTTCAAGTTTCAATAACCCGGTCATGTCTCGAAGGCCAAGAGCCTAGCGCAACACCGATATAATATGCAGGGTACCCTTGCCGGTGGAGGTTGTCACATTGGCTTGATCGCACCTGAAGCGAACGAGGACAAGGGAATCGGTGGGACCGTGCGAAAAATTACTAGTACTGGCAAGACCAACGACCGTAAACGTCCGATTGTTAGAAAAATACTCCGCTCGAACAGTTACTAGTTACTTGCAACCACCGCCAGCATCGTCTGACATGGCTTCCTATGCCATCAGGAAATCTATAAATCTCGCACCGACCGTGCGCGCGCTCCCAAATGGGATCCCGAGCGCGCCGCGTCTCAATCTCGTGGCACGAGCACCTTCGGATGGCCATGGTCATGGTGCGGCAGGTCCCCGTGCTGATGTCCCCACACGCTTGACTGGAACAGTCACGAGTCCTTCAGTCGGTCTAGTTTCCAAGACTTTCGTTGGTAAGTAATAATTTTTCGCCTTCCTTCAACTTACCTTCTCAACACTAACGTCGACCCAAACGCGTCCCTTGCCATTAGCTCCTCCCCCCACAACCCATCTCCACCAGCGCCTCATCCACACATCTGTGGCAGTGAAAGATGCTCCTCAAGTGCCTGATTTCACCCCATACACCCCGAAAGACGAAACCACCAACCGTGCCATGTCGTACTTCATGGTTGGCTCTCTCGGTGTCCTCTCCGCTTCTGTTGCCCAGTCCACTATTACTGGCTTCCTGGAGACCATGGCTGCATCGGCTGACGTCCTCGCTCTCGCGAAGACCGAGGTAGAACTTGCCAGCATTCCGGAGGGCAAGAATGTCATCATCAAATGGCGTGGAAAACCTGTGTTCATCCGTCACAGGACCCCCGATGAGATAGAAGAGGCACGGACTGTTGATTTGAAGGCACTCAGGGACCCTCAAAAGGACGAGGACCGAGTAAAGAAGCCCGAATGGCTGGTTATGCTTGGCGTTTGCACACACCTAGGTTGTGTCCCGATTGGCGAGTCGGGTGACTACGGAGGATGGTGTGTTATTTCCTTCCATCACTCAACTGTTCTGACAGTCTCGTTATCTAGGTTCTGTCCATGTCATGGTTCTCACTACGATATTTGTATGCCGCCATGGTTCCTTTGCTTAGAGTTTTACTAATCAAGTTCAATTTGCAGCTGGTCGTGCCCGGAAGGGACCTGCTCCGGTAGGGGTGTTTCCTCTGTATTCCGAATTCATACTGACACTATCTTGCAAGCTTAATTTAGAGATTCCTCCTTATGACTTCAATGACGCCGAGGGAAAGCTCGTTGTTGGATGAGATTAATCATGTGCTGTTTTTACTGTCCTGTCATGGAGTCGTAGACATCACTAGAAGTCAGCTTGCAGTTGCGTCTCATCAAGATTTGTGTGATAATTATTGCTGAGGTGTTCTGAGTATAAGTGACAGCGGCCGGTACACAGTACAGTGAGATAGACAAACTCGTAACGACTTACAACTGGTTGGAATAGAACCTTTGTAAACGCCCGGACAAGGATCGGTAAGCACACAAGGTGAGAGATTCACAGCGCTTGATTCCAAGTCTGCGTTGTGTCCAATATTTGTCGCCGCGCACTGTTTCGGATGAGTTCCTTGACCTTCATGGAAATCACTTGCTTTGCCGTTAAGGACTTTCAGTAGTGATCTTGGTGTGTATTAAGATGAATAATGAAAGTAACCTTGGATTCAGGTATCTCTGAGGAAGAACAACATTGTCTTCTGATCGGTGAATTGCAGATGTACACTAGCACTCCCACAAATGTCTCACTCAGGTGCTTACAGGGTCCTCTTCTGGGCATTTCCGACGCGCAAATTTTGCGATGCTACATGGTATGGAATCAGCTGTAATGATGGATAGGGAGTAGACTGGCTGTAGATAAAATTCGATGTCCTGTGTAATATTTGGTGTAGATAGTGTAGCCTTGACGATGGTAAAAGTTATGAGACGATAGGACGTTGAGCCAAAGAAGCAGAGCTCCGCCTGCTGAGCATACGCGATAACCCGCTCACTGTCTTCTCTTTGGTAGGTGTCTCTTCGTTTATGGCATTACGGGAAGTGGCGCGGGTTAGGCGCTGCCAAAGTTTCGGAGAAACCGATGATGGGGGAGAGGTGGGGGCAGAGGCCGGACCGTCTTTGGAATACGGGAAAGATGAAATACGAACGTTGGGTGACGCCCGCATTGGAATAGGAATAGGAACAGGAACGGGACGTGGTTTAGGCACATATGCAGGTGGCGATGCAGGAAATGACGAATCCGAACTTGAAGATTCTCCGTATCCAGCGTGGGCTTGCGAACCCGAAAGGAGAAACTCGACCGTCTTCTCGTTCTCAAGATCCAGAGCTTGGACGTCGATGGACGTCGAGTCTGAAGTAGGCATGATTGACGTCGTTTCTTCTGTGATACCGTGTGAACGCTCGAATCTTGGATGTACTGAGCGAGTTAACTGGTGATCGTTTGATCCAACATCGAGACCTCCCCTTCTGGATACACCCCCTGAACTATCTCGTCCTGGACCCAAAGTGAATGATGATGGATTTGTCTCTGTAGAGTTAAAGTCCCACGATTCCACTGTTCCATGAGTAACCGTGCTCGGATTATGTCTGCGACGTTCTTGGCGCATTGTAAGGGGTGGGAGGCCGTCTAATATTGTGCTGACCAAATAGGATTTCTTCTTGGCAGACTTGAAAAATGGGGTGAGAAGCAACTTCGCAGCCGTCGGACTGTCAAGGAGATATGAGATATAGAGTGACGAGGTGCTGGAAACAGAAATACCGTTTAGAGGGGTCTTTAACTAGACAGGCATCGACTACGTCCCTGAAAGCGCGTGAATACCGGTGAACACCCCCTACCGAATCAAGCTTCGGCGGTTTACCCTGAACGCTGGAAAGGGTTTTTAAGGAATGTGGTCTAAACGGATAGATTAAACTTACGTCTGCAAAAGGACATTATGAGCACTTTCTCTCGATCGTGGAGGACGACCTTGGGTAAGCTCGATAGCAGTTATTGCAAATGACCAGATGTCAGCCTTCGAATCATAACGATGACCCTGAATAAGCTCGGGCGCCATCCAACAGGGCTGCACAGTTCAGAAATGTTCGTGTCAGAGCATCCTAGGGTCTGAATGGCACGCACGGTCCCGACAAACGATTGTCGCTTTCCCATACCAGGACGCGCAAGTGGGGATGCAGGATAGGAGCTGTTGGCAGGAGACACGGGGTCAAAGTTGATAACACGATTGCCAGTGTCATTGTAAGATCTACTGGACATATCAGCATCATCTGTGAGAGATGCGGCTACCCCGAGGTCGCCTAGCAAAACTGTGCCGTCATCATCAATCAGAAGATTGGCAGCTTTTACTGTCGCGATGGATAAATCCGTTAATATGCAGGTAGCTGTGAAAATGTGGTCATTGTAGCACGGGAAAGGAGATAAGATGAACTCACTTGAGGCCTTCGAGGGCTTGCTTGAGGATGCATTTTACAACCTCTTCTTCCATTCCACCGGGCCAACCGTAATGCATTATGTCGGCGGCGCTACCCTTGTTCATGAGGCGGAGGGCAATATATAATTTATGGCCAACCATCCAGCTACCACGTACACGTAGCACATTTGGGTGTTTTGACAGGGACATGAGTTGTGTCTCCCGCTGTAACAAAGACAGCGACTGAGGGGGCAGTACGTCTAAGTCAAGAACTTTCAATGCGCATGGCATAGGGCGTTGTGGCCCTGGCGGGGGAGGATTATATACAGCAGCATAGACCACAGATGATGCTCCAAAACCGATGGGAGATCCGATAGTGTAGTCCGTGGAACGGTCACTGAATGGAAGTGAGTCTAGCTTATTCACTTGGGTAGTTGATTGCAATGTGCATTACCTATACAATTGCCAATCGTCTTTAACGGAACCGACAAATTTCCTGGCGATATTAACAGTCATTTGGTGAGCCCTGCAGCATACCGTCAAAGCTGCCCTGGAGTGAAATATATAAGTACTGCCACAGAGCCAGTGGGTAGCCAAACGACAGCGGTCACCGGTATATTAAAATTTGCCGTAACTGCGCGAAATTAAGGTTACAACATTAATTTCATATGTATGTCATCGCGTGACAACACCGTCACACTCTGTTCCGGGCATTCCGAGTCCGTTGGTAAACCATCCCTTCACAAAGTACATGGCACCGCATCAACCATGCGCTAAATATCAATACGTACTTACATCGTCCACTCCGAAGATAGTCCCGGTCACAGACCAAGAACTCAAGGATGAAGAATCACCAGCTGACTACAACGCTGGTGGGTATATGGTCATCAAGATCGATGATACATTCAAAGACGGTCGGTATATCGTAGCACGCAAGTTAGGGTAAGTCATCATATTTTTTGCCATACAATTCTTGTTCATTCGACAAGCTGGGGCCATTTTTCAACCGTCTGGCTCGTCAAGGACACTCAGTGGGTATTCCAGTTCTGCAAACACGCGTATGTTCTCATAAAGTTTTTTTTTTTCCTAGCGAGAACCACTACTCTGCTCTCAAAGTGGTCAAGTCTGCTACGCGTTATGCTGAGACTGCACGCGACGAAATCAAACTCTTGTCTCAGGTAGCTGCTGCAAATCCGCACCATGCTGGTCGACCACACGTTGTTTCGTTCCTCGATTCTTTTCAACATCGCACTCCCCAGGACACTCACGTGTGCATTGTCTTTGAGCCCCTCGGAGAGACGCTTCTCGCATTAATTCAACGCAACAAGAAGAAGGGTGTCCCAAAACCCCTCGTCAAGGTCATCGCGAAGCAAATGCTTCTCGGCCTTCAGTATCTTCACGATGAATGCTGATCTTGTTCACACTGACATTAAACCTGAGAACATTCGTGCGTATCTCATTGTCTCTGTATTCATATCCGCCCCACTGACACCTTACTCCATTAGTCATTTCCATACCAGATGTCGAAGCTCGTATTCATGCTGAATTGTCTATGTCGCCGAAGCCAACGTCGCATCACGTAGGCGTTCCTCAGCCCACCAAGTCCCGTTCTGGCTTAACCATTCCTTATCGACATGCTCCTGCATACGAGAGACGCGTACAAATATTTGATTCACAGCCACTATCAAGTCCATCATCGAGATCTGGAAGTATGAGCGCTCACGCGAGTAGCCATAGCTTCCAAAAGCAATTTTCTGGGACAACTCCGATCAGTGGCGCACCCATCAGCCAGTTGCTTAGGAAGTCTGCTAGAGCGGACCCTACTACCATCCTTCATGACTCACCAGTAATACTCTCCAGTAGCCCATCGACTTCGTCCATCATCTCCTCCTCGCTATCCACGCCAGCGGCTTCTAACAGTACTGTTAGTACACCTCCCACCTCGGTGGGAAGTGCAGACATACCCATCCTGACGAAAATGGCCTCGCTTACACTCATGAGTGCTTCGCCGGATGTCACTTTGCGTCTAAATATGGAAAGTGACATGGTCTCCGCGCAACACGTATCTATGTCTCCCCTCATCCAATCACATTCTTCGGATATTCACCACATCGCTTCCGGGCCGTCGCTTCTAACCCAAACTGCTCCGCATCAGTCTTCCGGGCCGTCTCTCAACCGAACTCCGTCGCCTCCTTCAGGGGTGCCCGTTCTAGGACCGCCATCAACGCCGCTTTCTACACCGTTTTCTACGCCGCTTTCGATCAAGATTGCCGATCTAGGCAATGCGACACCTTCTAAGCAGCATTTTACAGAGGACATTCAGACACGGCAGTATCGCGCTCCGGAGGCTATCCTTGGACGGCGTGACTGGGGCACAAGAGCTGACGTTTGGAGCGTTGCTTGTGTTGTTTTCGAGTTGTTGACTGCGGAATATCTGTTTGACCCTCATGGACAAGGCGAGATGTTCACAAAGGACGATGACCACATGGCGCAGATAATTGAATTACTGGGTGATTTCCCGTTAGATGCGAAGATGGGAGGAAGGTATAGTCGTGAAATATTTGATCACGCAGGTAAGTCAAATTGGAAACAGAACTCAAGCAGGGAACTCACGTTACGTTCAGGGGCGCTTCGTTATATCAAAACGTTGAAGCCATGGCCTCTGAATCGTGTCATGACAGAGAAATACCTTTTCTCTGTCTCGGAAGCAAACGATTTATGCTCCTTCCTTGAACCCATGCTTGCAGTCGATCAAAGGGAACGCAAAGAGGTTCGCGATATAGTTGACCATTATTGGCTAGATGTGAAGGACGAAGAGTGGGTAGGCGTTGACAGTTGGTAATGAACTTCATATTTTGCTTGTGTTGGTGTTGCCGTTTTATGGGGTTTATGTGTCTTGGGCTATCTGAAATATACACCCCGCTTTAACTGTTCTTTCACCCTACTTCAACAGTATTTATTCCTTATGGCTGCACGGTATATTGATATCACAATGACTGTTCACGACTTAGATTCAGTCATCCCTTCATTTTACACGTTTTTTTTGCTACATGTATTGCACTCATGATTCTGATTCACTTCGAAACACCTCATGGTAAACTCAATGCGTGTGATCGTCAGGAGGAGTCACTGTGACTAAGTCGAACTCAGTATGATTCACATGATTTTTAATCATGGTGATGTGCTGCCAGCCCCCCACTCGTTTGTTCTTGCCAGAAGTGTTACCTGTTACCTGACACTGACAGATTTATCTGACACCAGCACTCCATCTGATGTTTTGTTGGCGGTTCAGGGGTCTTTCGCACCACGCTATGTTTGCCACGGGCATTGGATCCACGATTAGCTTGCAGACCAGAAGGGTCTTCCCTAGTTGATTGTTGTACTGTAACTATGACATTTCCCTGATGGTCACGGTTGACTGCAATAATACAAATGACGTTGTCATTGAGTCTCTGGAAGGAACAATGCTAGTACACGCAGATCTGGTATGTCGAGTGCTTGAGGTACGCCATGCATGTGCTTGCCATTCCCAAAAGGGATGTCACGGTTCGCTCCGACAGCGCAAGGCTTATAATAACTTTAAGCGCCCATGGGATCATCTCAACACATACTATATCACCCATAAGAGCACTCATCTAGCAAGTCGTCATTTTCCCTCAGGAAGTTCCATCCCGCCCGATCGTGATGCTCACTGCCTCCATCGCGTCCACTCTCTCACTCAGCTTGCTAAAAGCATGCAGTGCAGTGGTTCTCTTGATTTTGGTAGCAAGAGGTTTCGTGTGGTTGATCAATATGATGGTCGTAGCACCTATGTTACCTATGTTTGACCCGCTCAAGAACATTCAGGGACCCGACGGTTCTCCGCTGCAGAACCACCTTCGTGAGGTCATGGAGTATGTGCATATCCAATTCGAGGTCAGTCGTGAGGACACTGAGGAAGCTTTTATCAGATAATCTGCCTTCATTTCAGCCCTAGCATATCTTTAGATATGCATGATACATGGGTCAAGTCGTTCGGGAAGACATTCAGATTTCACAGGTTCGGTAGGGTGAGTGCTTCTCGTCCTTCTTGAAAATACTATTAGCATGGCTTCCGTCCTCTCTCCGTCGACTTTTGCGTTATGTCGCATATCCTCAACTCACCGATCTACGAGAAACCATGAACATTGCCGACGAACGTATTTAGTTCCAAGTGGTTGAATACCAGGTATTTTTGCCATGGAAGGTGCCGAACACAAAGCTTTAGTGAGAATCACACTTGATTTATGAAGAAACAATATTCATATGGTCTCTCGCAGAGGAAGTTGATTGCACCGGCTTTCTCGACTGAATCAATTAAAACCATGACTCCCATATTCTTCCAGAAAGCTGAAGAATTACCGGACCAATGGGAGAGTTTTGCAACTTCTCCTTCATTGGCCGACGATGCGAAATCCCCTCCCCTTCCTGCACCACCTTATTCTCCTTCTCCTTCTTTTGCCGAGGCAGTGACCGACGTCGCTCACTGGTTCTCCCTTGCAACATCTAACGTGATAGGTTCGACAGGCTTTGACTACGACTTTCATGCTCTCCAGTGTGAATCCGAAGAAGTCCATTTGGCATACAAAAATATGTTCAGGATCGTCGACAAGGGTCCCAAATTGCGAGAACTTGTCCAGCTTTATTTCCCAATAATCGAGAAGATATTTGTCAGTGATATCATCAGTTTAGCAGACACTTCACTGATGTATTGTCTTCGTCGCAGCCTACTAATGAAGCCACGCGCATCACAAATGGAAGTCGACGCGTAATCAGCGAAGCTGGTCAACAGCTCATCCAAAGCAAGAAGTTCGCCATTCTTGCTGAAAAAGCGAGTGCGAGCGAGATCGAAGAGAAAGATATTCTTAATCTACTCAGTCAGCGCTCATTACAGTTTTTGTTAATTGGATCTGACATGTCACTTGTAGTCAAATCAAACCTATCGGCAGATATCTCTAGGCGACTTTCTGATGCAGATCTTCTATCCCAACTCTCGACGTTCCTTTTCGCAGGCTCTGACTCTACATCTCTTACTAGTATGTCCTGGTGCATCCACCTCCTTTCCATCCATCCTGATGTCCAAGGTCGCCTTACGCTCTGAACTAAACTCGATGTCTTCTTGCGCATCCAAATCTTCATCAATGTCAGGCCTATTCTGTACCGATCGAGGCTTTGGACTTTAGCACTGACATCTGAGGTGAGGATGCAAGATTGTTTAAGTGAGTATGTTTTTCTTCGCTGCGCCGGTTTCCTGAAAACTTCAGGCCTGATCGCTGGTCTTCTCTGCCTCACCCCGCACGAGCTCCCTCTCATCCAGGAATTGCAAACGTGACGACGTTCTCATTTGGTCCACATGTTTGTCCGGGCTGGAAGTTCTCGATGTTGGAAACCAAGATATTCCTGGCGACTCTCATCCCTCATTTTGTTTTCAAACCTACTGCGGATATACAAAAGTTCAACGCAATTCTGACGCGGCCCTACGTGTACGATCGATTCGAATTCGGCACATGACTACCTGTAAAAATTGAACGAGTAAATCTCTGATATTTGTAGATGGTATATTTCAAGGTCCTGTTGTAGCAAATCCGGTTTGTATTTAGTCTATCCTTATCGTCATTCAAATATTCATCTGATCGCCAGTCTGATAAATTAATGTATAAATCATCATGGGCTAAATGATGGACTATATAGCTCGTGGTGGAGTTTCATCACCGTGCAGGGTCACATTGTTGATGGCGCCGATCAATATATCCACCTCATCCTCTGATGATATGACATACACTGTGTTGTTAGCCGGGATTTGCCTGGTTTCCTCGAGAGGCGCGACGGGACGAGGAGAACCTACAGGAACTTCGTGAATCCAACGATATCCAGTACTAAGACAGATCTCACCTTGAGGCAGAGCAGTAGCCATCCTGCTGACCTTAGGGGTCCTAGGTGCTCTTTGCGCGAAGAGGGGGATGAGTTTTCCGACCTTGCAGACACCACAAACTGGGACATATTCAATGAACCTACGTGTGATATTGAAAGTACATTCGAGAGCAGCTCACCACATTCATCTGGTCTGATGGATTTGCTATATCGGCCATATCTAGTGCCAGACCATCAGACATTGGATTCTAGTGCCGGACCGCAACTCGACTTACATTTTTGAACACTTTTCGCATTCTTAATGAAATTATCAAAGTGGGGCTTCGCTGAAGCTGAATCTCATACTCACTCCATTCGAATGGGTACGAAATCTCATAGTTGTGCCTTGTCTGGGATTACAGCTGTCAGAAGACAGTCACTTTGCGGTGGTGGTTGCCTACCGTGATTTCAATTTCTGGACGCTTGATCATTACCTTGTCGGCCCTAGTGAGGTATCAGATCAACAGTCAGTGAAAACGAAAAGGATGTAGGCACCGACCAGGCTTTGAAGATCTGGCCATGGCCTTCTTTCGGGTTGCCGTTGATGACCCAGGATGCCAGGTGACACATCTCATGCGACAAAGTATTTCGTATCCGTTCTAAAAGCACACAAATCAGGGACACGGTAGAAGCAGAAACAAAGACCTCTCCACCATCACAATCCAAAATCTTGGCGGCCAACTCGATCTCTGTCGTCTGAACACCATCCCTAGACCTGTCATCAAGATGAGCATAATAAGAGATATAGCATAATGACTGGATACTTGTGCCACTTGGCCCTCCCCGCGGTAGTTAAGAGGCGCTTATTCCAATTCAATTTTGTCTCTCGGGGGAGACCAGTTATCGAATACTGTACTATTCAGCTCTTCAAAGAGCTGTGCAGCATATTTCTCGCGACGTCCCTGCTCCTCTGCTTTTCCCTGCTTGGGGATCCTGGGGGGTGGTTTATTTATTCGTGGCGTGCTGTCCAAGATTGCCCGAGGAGTACCAGCCTGCCTCTTATCTTCTCCAGATGAATGTGAGTGAAATGGCCCGTCATTACAGCGAGTAATCGGGAAAGAGGGAATGGATTCATTGACAGTGGATATCTGAGCACGGCGAATGGGTTTGCGTGCACTTCGAGGCTCGTTCCTGCCCGGTCAATATGTGAGCTCGGAATTAGCACTAGTGGGTATGGTCTCACAAAATAAGAATGGAACCATCGTCTGCATCGCTCTCATCAGCATAAAGTGACAAAAAATCTTTCGGACACTGAGCCACAGGTTTCCTCCGCATTTTTGCGGGGCTCTTGACGAGATCAGTTAATTTGTCCGGAAAGTCGGAGGATGTATCACAGGTATCACTATCTGTTAATTCAATGATTTCCAACGATCCACGGAATGGGCTTGTGTTAACAGGAGTGTTCTGACCCCGTCGAGTACTATGTCTTCGTCAAGTATCTGATATCACGGTATCCAAGACATTACTTACCCGTATTTTGTGAGTCTGGATAGGTAAAAACACGTGAGTTTGTTTAAACATATATCTCTGCCATAGAATCTTACGGGTCGTCATCGTCGTCCGAGGATATTTGAATGACTTCAAGAGTGACAGATTTACACTTTCTATATGTGCGGGTCAACGTCAAAAAGTGGTTTTCACGAGAAGGTCACGCACCTGAGTCTCTCTTCCTCGCTATCTGATATCAACTCTGGGTTCAGCCTCTTGATCATTAACCCTAAGTAACGAGTGACAAAGACAGATATCAAGACTAGTCTGTCAACAATATATGGGCACTAAGCCAGTGATAAAATGTTTGACACTGACCTGCAATGGACCATTAATGTGTCTCGCGACTCAAGACGCGCTTGTTCCCAGCGTCCCGTGACAATGTCAACTTGATCATGTGCATTTGAATGTGATAAGTGCTACAATAAGGTATGTTGGCGCCTCATTGCAAGGCCCGCCTAGCTCAATCGGATAGAGCGTCAGACTTTTACGAATTGTACGAGTTTGTGCAAGGCGGTGATCTGAAGGCTGCGAGTTCGACCCTCGCGGTGGGCTAAAGTTTTAGTTCAAGTTTGGAAGGTAATCAATACCTTTGCAGTTCAATATTGCACAGGGTTTTCTGATAAATTCAAGTTTTGGCCTATATGTCCGCCAAATACTGCCGAGGCTGCAGTCGGCGTTTCTGAAGTTCAATAATTTCATATGGCAAAAATTATTGCAGCGGTATACGCATTTAAAGTCTTCTGACTTTCTAACCCTCCTCTACTTCCTCCTCCGCAATAAGCCTCTCTGCCTCAAGCGCGGCCATGCACCCACTCCCCGCACTAGTGATAGCCTGTCTATATTTCTTATCCTGCACATCGCCAGCGGCAAACACGCCCTTGACGCTCGTCTGCGTCGTTCCAGGGACAGTGATGACATACCCATCAAGGTCCGTTTGCAGCTGGGAGCGCACGAGGGACGTAGCTGGTTCATGTCCGATCGCATAGAAAAGTCCGCGCACTGGTAGATCATGTTCTTCCCCTGTCCTTACGTTTTTGATGCGGAGGTTGTTGAGGAGGTTGCCGTCGCCTTGGCATTCGGTTGCGACGGTGTTCCAAAGAATCGTCTGTGGAAGCGTATAAGAGGTGGTAAGTAATGGGGTATGGGAATAGAGGGAGACATACAATCTTGGGGTGATTCATGAGGCGCTTGGCCATAGTTTTAGAAGCACGGAGTTCGCTACGGCGGACAAGGACATACACGTGGGAGCTGTATTTTGTCAGATCTGCCAGAATTTGATGTTTGATTTTCGATCTCAGGATTGAAATATCTTACAGGTCGCTTCTTCTGCTGCAGAATCACCACCACCGATGACAGCTAGCGGTTGATTCCTGAAGATAGGGACGGCAGCATCGCAGACTGCACACGCGCTGATGCCGCTCTGCCAGTATGTGACTTCGCCCTTGAGTCCTAGCCTCTTCGCGCTCGCACCAGTTGCGATGATGATCGCATCGGCAGTTTCTGCTTTGTCGTGTTCCTCACCCTCTCGCCAGTAACGGAAGGGGCGTGCAGAGAGATCGACCTTGGAAACGGTCTCTGTGATGATCCGCGTTCCGAAGCGAATGGACTGCTCGCGAAACCTATCCATAAGCTCGGGACCAAGGATGCCAGATGGGAAACCGGGATAGTTCTCGACTGCAGTGATAGATGAGATGCAGTGAAGATAAGGGCGGGATGGGGTGTGTACGTACCATCTGTGGTTGTGGTAAGTTGACCACCGGCAGCGAAACCATTTGCCATAAAGCCCTCAAACAGGACAGGGTTGATGTTCGCGCGCGCAAGATATACAGCCGCGGTGTGTCCTGCAGGACCTGACCCAATAATAACCTGCGCATGGGTGAGTGTTGGGGAATGATAGAAACGAAATGGATGATACAGACGACTTTTGAATGCATCTTTGTGCTCTTTGGGACTTTTCTATCTGTGAGTGAGGCCATGTTTGAGTGATCTAGCGCGATCCAGAGGGGAGGCAGTTATAGTTGCGAAAGGAAGGGGCCTTGCCAAATTGCAGGAAGCGAACTAGAGAAAGCATATCTCTCTAACTTTTGCCTGGTTGTCGGGAAAAAACTAAGGGCCATGACGCCGGATTACGGGTTTGGTTAGCGCGCTCCGAGTATAAGACCTAGGCCTTGAATGACTACAAATTTGGTGTTGCAGCGGGCTACGTGCAACGTAAGGCTGTCAGAAGATCATCAAAAAATTATCAAGACATGGACCTTAAAAGTTAGAGCCGGGATATTTTTTTGTCCGACATTGTTCGTCGACAAACACTTTCCACATGCTCAGACAGAGACTAGTGCACCACCATTACTGACATAGCTGCTATGGCGCAAGTACTAAAATGATGCAAAAACATTAGCCCACCGCGAGGGTCGAACTCGCAGCCTTCAGATCGCCTAGTCATAAGAGTCTGACGCTCTATCCGATTGAGCTAGGCGGGCGATGTCAAAATGTCCACGTGTACCTGTATAAGGCACAGGAAGAATAAAAGACACTGCGTTCACCTAATACGAAGATTCAATGGGTCTGACTAGGGGAGACTACTTATCTACAGATATTCAAAACAGAGAGCAAATGTATAGCATTGTTCGTACAACACATTGATCAAACACCGACCCTGTGGCAAAATTCAAGCCGTGCACTAATATCAAAATAAACAACTTACCGATGCACGACCTTTTTCTGCAATACACATGGGTTATCATCTCATTTTTGTGGTACGACATAGAATACTCACCTGACCAGAGAATCGTATCACCTCCCTCTTCTCAAGGATGAAGAGTGTTCGTTCCAGTGCGTGATTCGAGTAGCCCTGTTGCGTTACAAATTCCCTTACTAAACTTTGGTAACTCGTACTCCAGCCCACAGGAAGACGTCTGCGCAATTCCTTCTCTATCCGCGACATCTCGTCATTCAGCTCGCCGCGAGACATACCATCAATGGAACCCGCCGAGACAGCGTCCATCGTGGAGAACTTGAAAAGCCGGATGGCTTCCTCGACATGATGATTTTGAACAGTGGGTGATAATGTCATCTTGGCAAGCGATTCCGATATTCGGATGATGGCTTCTAATTGGCTGTGAAACGCATTAATCTCAACAGCAGTGAATCTGGAAATTGATACCAACCGAACTGTTATGGGAATTGAACTCCGTTCGTCATTATCGCGTTCCACTTGCTGAACCTGCTTCCGAAGACTAACAAAATGACTGCTAAGCATTTCTTGAGCATCTGGAGATAACCGCGGCGCGCATTTGCTGGAGACCACATAATTAGCTTGATTATCTTACAACAATAGGGGATAATTCAAACCTCTTGCAATACGAGATATACCGCTTCATTTTGTCAATGTCAATTTCGCCAACAGCTTCTCCATTGTCGTCTGTACTCTGATTCGGCCTGTTCATGTGGATGTTCATGACGTGCTTGGCAATCATCTAAATATTCGGTCTTGAGTAAAGGTTTAGGATTAAGGAAGTGGACACTGACACGATCTCGTTGTTCGTTATGCTCGTCTTTGACGATGAAAATCATATCAAAACGTGACAAAATGGTTGTTTGAAAGTCGATGTTCTGGATGCTATGTCAGCAAACTGTAAACCCCCCTCGTGAAGCAGAATACCTCGCCAGGGCTCCGACCCTCATCATATCGTCCCCAAACTGGATTTGCTGCTGCAAGGACACTTGTTCGGGAGTTCAGCACCGTCGTGATACCAGCCTTCGCTATCGAAATGGTTTGCTGCTCCATAGCCTCATGGATGGCAACCCGATCCTCATCACGCATTTTGTCAAATTCGTCTATACAGACAACCCCAGTATCTGCAAGAACCATGGCACCACCCTCGAGATAGAATTCGCGCTGCGATGCGATGCGAAAAGTTAAAGAGCACAAATTTCTGTAAAGGAATTGACACTTACAGAAACTGCATCCCGCTGGACGACAGCTGTTAATCCAGCTGCGCTAGAACCCTTTCCAGAGGTGTACACGGCGATCGGTGCAACCTGCAGGATGCGATGAGAGGGCGTACAGCGCGGGATTGGTGCTTCTCATACCTTCTCAACGAACTTGAGCAGTTGACTCTTTGCTGTCCCTGGATCTCCGAGCAAAAGAACATTGATATCGCCTCTCAATCGCATACCATCTGGTAAGACCTTCTTAGAGCCACCGAAAAGCAGACACGTAATCGCCTTCTTGATGTCTGCAAGAGCAATGAGCAAGGATCAAAAAGTCAGTTCGCAGTTCGCGACAAACCGAGGCTGCCATAAATACTCGGACCAACACTCTTAGCAAAACGTTCATAGAAGCCATCGCTGCGTGCCATTTCACCAAATTCTTCCTCCTCTTCAGGAGTGAATTGCACTCCAAAGGGATTCGAGGCGCCACCACCGGCAGTCGGCGAGGACATTTCAATGTGAACAAGACGAAGATAAGGTTGTCGAAGTGCAGCAGGACCAGCAGATTTCTGTCATAATTTAATATGTGTATCGGGGAAAAATTGAGATGATACTCACGTTCTTTGCCGAACTGAAAGTAGAATAAATCCCAGTCGCGACTATTCGTGAGCCAGGGACGACCTTGCCCGTTAGGTATCGGTCTGCAGAGAGAAGCATGTGCCGTGGAAGTTCACCAACTGGAACCATGTCTGGTGCCTCTTGCAGTTTCAGAGTCTGCTGGTCAACAAAAGTTGACTTTGAGTGAACAATGATGTAAGGGTCTATTGGGCAATCCTTCTTCTGATTCTCCAACTCTGGTGCATCACAAACTCTGGGTAGGCCTCGATCTGAACCATTGCCTATTCCTCCAAGGCCGCCAGCAGGGTATACAACTTTTGTGGACCGGCAAGCACGACATTGAAGATGAAGCTTTGTTGCTCGCGAGGAAAGGACAGAGGCGGAAATAACGATTCCTGGTATACGGACCAACTTGTTCATCGTATTTGCTGTTAAGTCGCGAACACGTTGCATCTGGAGGCCAGATTTGATGGTGATTTGAACTCTGGGGATTGATTGAAGAGCAGCCTCTGCGCGTTCATCAGAGCCACCAGCTAGCGGGAATAGGATAGTACGAGCCGCTTTAGTAGCCGCGTTTTCAAACTGTAAATGATCTGAGCTTCAAGTACAAGAACACGGGAAATGTACTTACCAGCGGCAATATATCTGCCGGTCTGTCCTGAATTGCATGCGCTAACTCATCATTATACAAACCAACATGACGAAGATCGACCTCCAGCTGGTATTGCTTAAGGAGCAAGTTTGCACGAAGCTGATCTCTGCAAGCTTATTTAATAACTGTCAGACACTCGGGAGATAATAAAACTGACCTGTAGATGAATTCGCCTCCGACGCGATATTGCAACAAAAACTCTAACAAGAGTTTCTCAGTCTGGGATGGAGAGTCAGTAGATGCAACAGCTGGTGGGTCGTGGACCGAGACGGTGAACACATGATTTCCGTCGAAACCTGACATTTATGAGCGAAACAGAAAAGAGTAACTTATCTTCAATGAATGGATATGGAAGACGCGAAGGTAATATTATCCTTTAGGGCAGACAAATACGCGACATCAGACGGATATGAATATCTATATATATTCAATGTTGAATCCCGTTTAGCTCAGTTGGTAGAGCGCGTCACTAGTAATGACGAGGTCAGTCGTTCAAGTCGGCTAATGGGAATTTATTTTGTCTCCTATTATTTTGTCTGTCGCATCACTAGGATTCAACGCTGTGGCCGCACTCGTTAATCTCACTGTTAATCTCACTGTTCATCATGACCTCGCAAATGGATACAGACGAACAATCCATAGTCCTCCCCTCTAGCACAACGTCCGGATTGTCTTTGTCGCTGTTGGTCCACTTTCTGTTTGATACTGTTAGTAACCTTGACGTCGTCTTTCAGGCATCCCCTGCCGATCCTGAACATTTCCGAACATTTGACGAGACTAAAGCTTCAGACTCGGTCCAATTCACCTTTCGGCATGTTCATTTCTCTCTCGTGCTTGTTACCTGTCACTCACAGCAGACTGATCAGTCCTCGGCGCATTGCTAGGCACCCAGAACGGTCGAGAAGTCGAGATTGTAAACACATTCGAACTCGCCACAGAAGAGGGTCGCGATGACCTTGTAGACCACGACTTCTTGGTGTCTAGACGCGATCAGTGTAAGTTTTCTATGTGATCCGCATTCTTGCTGGCCGAAACATTTTCTTGTCGAAGATAAACAGGTGTTCCCCTCTTTAGAGTTCATTGGATGGTACACAGTAGCTTCTGTACCGACATATCGTCACATCGCATTACATGAGCAGGCATGCCGATTATTCCTGAGTTCTCATTTGTGAAGCTCATAGCCCACAGTTCACAGGGTATTGCTCAACGCCACTCCTACTTGTCCTACAACCCTCCACGACAACTTCATCATCATCTGATATCACTGGGCAGACACTTCCTTTCAAGGCTTATGAGCCTACCGTCGAAATAAGGGATAAGAAGACACGTTCTGTGTTCATAGAGGCACCATTTAAGGTAGAGACAGGTGAAGCTGAGCGTATTGCTGTCGATTGGACAGCCAAGGGTGGTGGTGGAAGTACCAGCCGTGGGTGAATTGCTTCTTCTACTGATATACCTCGTCATCCTTTCTGCAGTTGAATCTCATCTTCAAGCTCAGCGGGCAGCAGTCAAGATGTTACACGAGCGAATATTGGTTCTTGTGCAGTATGTGACAAACGTGATCGCAGGTACGTTATATGCGTCAACTTGAAATCCAGGTTATATACATTTGTACCCAGGTCAAATTCCAACCGATCATACAACCCTTCGATCTTTGTCCGCCTTGATTGCCTCGTTACCGGCAAGTGAGAATAAGGGCTTCCGCGACGAATTCAACACTGTGTGTACCATTTTTACTTTACGTCCTCCATCTCTGTTCGATATTCACGCTACCCCTTACTCACTCTGATACACCATACAGGAGTATGAAGACGTCCAGCTTACTGCGCTACTCTCATCGCTCACGAAATCGACGAACATTTTGAATGACGTGAGTGATATGCAATTGTCAGTCTCCTAATTCAGTTTTGATCAACATGGGCGCTTGTCATGTAGCTTGTCGACAAGCACCTTGTACTCATAGGAGGATCGCGGGACGATCGCACTGTTACTGTAAGGAGGAGGGGGATAGGCAGACAAGGGATGATGCCAGGGGATTGGGCGATGCACCCTTAGTTACTTGAAGAATGCTATGCCACGTATTGTGTATCCCTTCCTTACCCGGCACCAATACTCATGTATCATATTTGCAATCGGAAGGTGACTCGCTGTTTCCTGGAACCCGTATATTTGTATTGGTTGGACTGCGTTCAACTAGTAAGCCTGCCACGTATAAATGAGACTCCACCGTGATCAAATTTTATTAGTTCTTCCCAGTTGACCATGGCACATGTCGAAGTCGTATCACCAGCCTCCTTCCTCGGTACGGTGTCGCCTAAAGGTGTTTACATTCTAGGTTATGGCTGGCTTTATGGGATGTGTAAGATCGTTCCGTCATCGTACATTCGTCTGCGCTGACTCACGAGACGGATCTAGCTGTGTGGGTGTCATTTTTTGGAGGTACGGGACTATCAATATTTATCATGAACCTGCTTTTCTGACGGGCGTGTGTTCAGGAATAATTGCTTTGCGGACGTTGCGTTCGTCTTTCTGATTTAAGTGTACCTCGTGCTGTCGATAATCAGACTACTTCGTTGAAACAGCTAGACACCAGTTTGGTGCTCTTCAGCACAAGACCTTCCCGATCTACTTTTCTTCCTCGATTGGACTCTCCTCGGCTTTGCTGGGGCTTTGGGCATATGTCCATCCCGAACTTCTTGCCAACATCACCAGTCCTCTTCGGGCTGATGTTGCACAGGCATATGTGCTCGGAACTGTCATAGCGCTACAGAGCTGCAACCAGTTCGTCGTTGGGCCAATGACTAGCAGGCAGGTAGAATGTAGTTACGAGGCCACCAGGTACTGAACTTTCATGTACGCGGCCACAGGACCATGTTCCAGCGACATAAGTTGGAGAAAGAAGAAGGCAAAAACTACGATGAACCCGGCGTAAGCTCTTGCTATTCTTTCAATCATAACAATGCACTGACGAAGATTTGTAGGTTTCCGCCCAGATGAAGGCATTGAACACGAAGTTTAGAATGCTCCATGGCATGAGCTCGCTGGCCAACTTGGGTGCAGTCATTGCCCTAACCTTTCACGGCCTGTGGATTGGAAGCTACGGGTTGTGAAGCACTGTCTGGGTATCATAAACCTGTCCTAAGAGCATCCGTATAGCTCTCAACTGTGTCAACAGCCAGAGTAGATATTACGCAAAAATACAGTTCTAAGCAGTACAGTCATGCACCTACAGACTCCATGGATGGCATGTATCCTTCTCTTAAACTTCTCTCCAGCCTCCTGATCTCTTCGATGGAGGTTGCCTTTGCGATGGCCAGTTTGACCTTCTCGGCGTCTTCTTTTGACATCAGCCGGCCTGCCTTCCCTGATAGCGCCGCTGGTTTGGGCTCGTCAAGAGTGACGGCTGCTTTTGAACCCTGCTTCGATATGGTGGTGGATATCGTTGTTGCAAGGGCAGTAGGTAAACCTTCTGCTGTAAGGAACAAAGACTTTCCTGCCTCCCGCTCCTGAAAGGTGCGAGTGTGCTGAGCTATCGACCGCGTTGAGTTTCGAACGTCGTGGGCGCACCTTATCGCGAATTCTCTGAAAATCCAGAACTCTCAGCGATGCTATTCTCCACGCAAGCCACTCGCGATACCATTTCTTTTCCCTCACGGGGTTGCCCAAAAGGGCAAGGTACTTCAATCCCTTGATCTCCTTGAGAGGTTCGAGATCGCCAAGCTCAACGATACTGTTGCCAGTGAGGACCAGAGTTGTTAGATTTGGAACTGAAAGGTGAATTGAGGGTGAAATCGAAGCAACTCGGTTGTTGGCAAGAAGGAGTGTTCTCAGTCGTTTGAGCAAGGGCAGATTGCCCAGCACGGTGATTGAATTATCTGTGAAATCTATAGCGTCGTGCTGGTCCTATTAAAAATGTAAGTTGTAATATTTACTGCCGCGATATACATGAGGCCAATGCGCGTACCTTGGTCACACCAAGGTTTTCAATAGTAGGGATTTTGTAACCTTTGGAATGAGATGAACATGGTTCGAGATGCAACTGATTTTTGCGAGCTCACCTCGTAGATCGAGCTGTCGCTCTTTTACGGGGTTTAGTGCAGATGGGGCCTGCGCGAGAAGCTCGGGGGTGAGCTTGACCATGGCGGCTCTAGTCAAGCGTGGAGGGTGCACGCTACGTTTCAGACTCAGACAACGAAGACGCAGCCACTTACGACGCGACGTGCTCAACACATTACTTCCTGACCACCATGAAGCCCATATACCAGAGACTCAATCTGTGCGACCCGCTGCCCACTAAAATTTACTTTTCTGCTGACTTTTTTTACAGATTTATTGACGGCCAGGACGCCTACACCTTTGTTCCCGTGCAACCTATTGGAGCGCAGTCTCTCACCATACACAGGGCTACCGGTGATATAGTACTCAATGGTGAGCTGCCTTTAACACGTGGTATTGCAGCTACATATGACTCTGCTCAGCACCGAACACACCTGTCCATCCTACCGCCTCGAGATACGGCAAGACAATTTATGGGATCCTGGGGATGATTTCACTGGCTCTTTGTGCGTATTACGATTTCCAGAGGCCGCTTGCATAGACCGATCCATTTTTCAGCGGAGTATGTGATTGTAATGACAGGCCGCGAACACCGTGCGCGCCTGATGGGCCACGACATATACCGTGCGGCTGACTTTGACATTCTACCTCTAAATCCCAATGTCTCTGTTCAAAACCCACCCCACCCAGTAGAGAGACACTTGTTAGCATTGGTTCGCTCGCATCTCCTTGGCGGGCACTTCTTATTTAGCTACGGCTGGGACTTGTCGAGGAGACTCCAAGCACAATGGCAAGACCGGGATAACGAAGAGAGAAAGGCCTTGTGGGAGGTGGTGAGTGCTGATATATGCATTTGAAACCATAAGAATGACCGAGTATTAGGCCGACGACAGGTTTTTCTGGAATAAGTTGGTCGCTCATACAGTTGTGCAGAATATGCATGTTGACATTCGTGACTTCCCGCAGATTCTTACAGTCTAGACTCACAGACACAGACATTGCACATGATGTGAGTCATTTTTATCCAGTTTTAGTGCACAATTCATGATTTATACAGCTCAGTCCTTACATTCTCCCAATTATTTATGGAAGTAAGTCTGCGCCTCAATCTTTCTGCTCATTGTTTGACAGATTTTAGCATTCGACATGCGCACTGTATATATCCATGGACATCGCATCCAGCTTTGCCTCATCAGTCGACGGTCGCGCTATCGTGCAGGCACGAGATACTTCCGCCGTGGCATTGACCATGAAGGCCACGTTGCTAACTTCAACGAGACCGAACAAATTCTCCTGGTTGATGAGAAAGCCGCGGGACGCTTATCTTTTGCCGAAAACTTGACGCACAAATTGAGCTTCACTCAGATTAGAGGCAGTGTGCCGGTCTTCTGGGCTGAGGTCAACACACTCAGATATAAACCTGATTTGCAGGTTATGGACCTTCAGGAGACGGTAATTTTACTTCTCGTTTTCAATGGGTGTCATCGTTTTGACCACTTATAGGTTGACATGATTAAGCTCCACCTTCGAGATCAAGTTTCAGAATATGGCAGTCAAAGTCTCATCAACCTGGTGAATCAAAAAGGACACGAGCAACCGGTAAAGGAGGCCTACGAACGCGCTGTTTCTAAAGTACATTGCCATTACACTGCTTCTGCATCTCATTGATCCGTTTTAGGTTGATCTCCCGGACGTGAAGTATCAATACTTCGACTTCCACAACGAGTGCAAACACATGCGATGGGATCGTATTAGTGTTCTCATCGAAAAGATGCAAGAGGATCTCGTTCAGCAAGGGTTCGAACGAGCAACCCTCAAGAGTTCTTTTACTGATGTACATGCAGATACTTCCACCTCGACACGGCACAGAATAAGGCTGTACAAATACAGACAGGCGTGATGAGAACAAATTGTATGGACAATCTGGACCGCACGAACGTAGTTCAAGCAGCGCTAGCGAAATGGACGCTTCATCAACAATTGAAAGCCATTGGGGTGGTGTCCGACAATGAAGAACTGGATGACTTTGATGCATTAACCAGAGGTTTCCGTGAGAGTAAGGCTGTCGCTGCAATCTCATCGTTGCATACTCATTATGCTATCTAGTGTGGGCCGATCACGCGGACTTAATCTCGAAGGCATATGCAGGCTCGGGGGCGCTAAAAACAGACTTTACTCGTACGAATACCCGAACGAAAATAGGTGCACTCCAAGATGGGTACAAGAGTGTCGTGCGATACATCAAGAACAATCATTTCGATGGCGCTAGACAAGTTCGTGTCTCCCGGCGCTTAACTTTGCTACCCTGACAGATTTACAGGATGGAATTGACCTTGTTACTGGAGCTTGGACTCCTCAGAAGAATCCAGTCACCGCTTCATCCCTGGTCGCTGATACGCGACCATTAACCATCCGATCGGTATGTTTGTTCGCACTCGGAACAACTCATTGTTGAATCTGCTCCTTCAGGTCCCTTACATCTTGTTGTTTGCGCTGTTCATGATCTGCGCTGGACTTACTCTGCCAAGAACATCAGGTAAGTCACAATGTACATCATTTAGCGGAATTCGCTGACTGGTAGTCGCAGACTACTCGCTATTGTATTACTTCATGTTGTGGTTCGTTATCGCTTCATTGGCTGTCGTGTTCATGATGGTGCATGGCATCGAGTATGTCTCGTGGCCGCGGCTCATTCCTCCCACGGATACCATCTACTACAAAGGACCAGGGTTTCGCTCAGCTCACAACGGGAAGGGCTTCACTGGCCCTCTAGCTCACAAGTTGGATCTTTTTGGTCAATCAAATCACTTTGGTTCCAGGCTACTCTTAAACGGGCGTAAGAGAGCTTTGACGGTCAGTGGGATGGAAGAGGGAACGAAGAAGAGAGTGGATTGAGGCCCGCTACTGAACTATGTTACGCAGCGCCTATCAATCATGCTATCCGGGCCACATTTGGACCACAATATATAATCGCCCCGTACTTAATTGGATTGCCATCGTGCCTTACATAAGCTTGGAAAATTTCCCATTTTGGCGCCGCAAACGGAATTCAAACTCCGCTGTGGCGCGTCACGCTAGGATATGCATATGTTTGGAGCATAAATCCTCCTGTCCCTTCCTCACCATGTCTGGCAAAAAACGCGCTTCCCCCGGCACAGACGTCGAGAAAAATCCTCTGGCAAATGTCGAACTCAACAATGAAGATGCCAAAAAACTCCAGGACATTCAGAAAGATGTCCAACGCGTCGAACTTGTCATAGGTGAGCTTCTCAGTATATGGCCAGAGCCCCCCCACGGAAAGCAGTAACACAAATTGACAATTTTTAAGAGCGCCTGGCTATGGACAAACTGACCCCAGTCTATGAAAAACGCCGTGCTGTCGCTAAATCGATAGAGAAATTTTGGCCTGTGGCTCTTATGAACAATAACATGATCTCTTTTCATGCACAACACACTATTGATCAACTTGCGCTGAGCTACCTTGAAGATTTATGGATCGTTCGCGATCCTAAGGAGCCACGATGCTACACTATCGAATTCGTGCGTCATTGTTGATATGCACCTTGATAATCAACACTCTAAATTGTTATGATAGTTTTTCAAGGCAAACCCGTACTTCACTGACTCCGTCTTAAAAAAGGAATACAAATACGTACCTCCACCCGCCGCTTCGGACGAAAACCCTGATGCAGACGGTATTACCGACTCCATGCTCGAGTTCTCCTGGGCCCGTGATGTCCAGCCTTCCGTAAGTTACGTGTGTCCTCACTGAACCACACTATTAAACTAGCGGTAGGCAACTCCTATTCACTGGAAGGATCCTGAGAATGCCCTGACCAAACTCCACCCTCGTGTGGCTGAGGTGGATGGGGACGATGATGATATGCCTGCAGAAGCTGGCAGCTTCTTCAACTTCTTCGAGGTTGCAGATGATCCATTTGAGGTGAGTGGCGCCAGTCGGTCGCCATGGGTGCCTAACTTGGCATATTTTCTAGATTGGCGCGCAAATTGCCAATGAGATCTTCTCCGAGGCCACAGATTATTTCATGGGCAA